CTTTTAGATTCCTAATCTTGCAGGAAAGGGAAGAAAACCCATCTCAAGCCATAATTCTATTAGGTGATAGATTAGAGAATTGGGTAAAGGATATGACAGAAAACGTAGGAAAGGAGAAATCTGACTGGATAGCAAGGAAGCTCTCTCACCACATCTTTTAGATCCTCATTTTGCCATATCTGCAAGTGTCATATCTGAGTGCAGGTGAAAAAAGAATTGTAATAGAAATCATGATCCAGTATAATTTTGGAGGCTGGAAAAGGAAACTCAGCAAATTACTCTCTAGTGAATGGGAATATAACAAAACAATCTGGAGTGAGGAAGGCTTCCCATTTCTTGCTGTATTCTCTAGTTAAAAAAAAAAGGCACCCTCAGAACTGAAAGTAAATTTTAAAAAACAATCTCGGAAACCTTATCCAGATGACAGGCACAAAGACTGTAAACATCCTACAATTCTTGGTACAGTGAAGTTTTACTGTAGACTATAGGTGGAATAACTTCCTATTTTTGTCTTTCTTGCTTGGAATTTCTAATCCTACTCAGAATTTTGCAAAAATAAAAATGCAAAACCTGTATTCAACTTAAAACTTTGCTCCAGAATCAGCGCTAATAAAAAAAACCCTGGATTTCCAGATCTTCCCAAAATGAGGCTTACAAGTACTGTAGCTATGTCCATGGCCATCTGATGAAACACAAATGCTACATAATTTTCTTTTTATTCTCAGATCTTTAACAAGGATTGTTTTTATATAACTTTCTATTGCGTCCCTACTTCCTTAACCAGCTTGTAAACATAGTAACTGCCAAACTATTTGTTGCACATTTTTCTTTCCAGTTTTTAGTTTCCTACACTTCTATTTCTGAGATGTGGCATCTGCTTGTTTTGTTAATCTAAATGCAAACATAGATATAGGGTCTCTCAGAGATATGTACCTCATTTATCACTTAACTTTTCACTCATGTCACTAAAAGGCCCCAGTGATATATTGTTAAGCTATTTGCTTCAATTCTACACAGCAAGTGACCTACAAAAATACAAGAAATCAAATAACCTTTAGGATTATGTATGAATGCCCCAAGTAACCAGTGAAAGAAGAGAATGAAGTATATTTGTAATATGTTTTTACCTTCTTCAGTTATGCTGACATACAGATTTGTTATAGCCCAATTGCTTCTGAACAGCATGAGGTACAACTATTCATTCTGCTAAGAACAATATGTCCACCTTTGACTGAACTGTACTAGAGACATGAGCTCACTGTATGGTTGTAAATTTTTTCTATTTTTAAAAATGAAGGGTATGTTTTAAAGGTTTTTGCTTGATGGCTTTAAAAAGTGTGTAGTGTTTATAAAAAGCAAACAGCAAAGTCTCACAAGCATACTTTCAATATGTTATAATAAATATAGAACTTGCCAGTAACTGCTGCGATTGAAAATCTGAAACTACACAGTATGTGATTCTTGCTAGACTAAACAGAACAACTGTTAGCACCACCTGTTAGTGAAAAATAGAAGGATAAATCATTATTGCTATTACACAAACCAAATAATGGCAATATTGAAAAAAAAAAAAAGAAAACTTTTTCTATTGTTTATTTTAATATTTTCCATTTAAATTGGGCCTTGGGATTGTGTTGGGAGGCAAGCTGATACTCCGGGTGTGTACAAAAGTTGCTTTTTTTGCCATTTTTTGCTAAGCACTTTACTCCTGTAACTTAACAAAAGTGTGCACAGCTTTACAGCACTTTAATAATTGGCATAATGCTTTAAATTAACCCTTGTTAAATGAGGTATTAAATTTGAAGCACCATATTTTACAGCAACCTACAGCGCTTTAAATAACTTCTGTATACTGGTCAAATTTCTGATAAGTGGAGAATCTGATATCTTTTATTAGACCAACTTAAATAGTTGGAAAAACAATTATTAAGCAAGCTTTCAGGTTCAAAAACCCTTCGTCAACCCGAAAGCTTGCTTAATAATTGTTTTTCCAACTATTGTGTCACAACCCAGTGATTTTTGTGCCTCGGCACTATGGAATTTCCTGGCCACATGAGAGCTCCTTTGCACGGCAGAGTGCTCTGCTGCAATTAAGAGCCTGCGTGCAGGAGAGTTCCCGCCAATTTGCAGTTTCCTTTGCAGGATGCATTTCTTCTTTGCAGCACAGAAATGCACGGTGCAAAGAGTTCCCGCCATTCGAATGTAAATTTGTGCCCCGCTATTGGCCAGTGCTAAATTATTCACACGTGGCGGCTAGTAATTGGCTCGCTGGCCGTTTAAAATTCCGCGCAACTTCCGCCCAAGTCGAAGAGCTTTGAGCACGCTGCAGAGTGCCTCTTAAGTTATCTGACTTGCGGCTGCCAATCGATAGACTGATCACCTATCGATCTTTCTTCTCGTCACCGAGCGCAACCCCGACGTACCCCTTTCCCCGCCGGCTTCGAATTGCGGACGGATTAACTGGCTTGGGCCCTGCCAGCTGGAGCAACTCGTGTGGTTGTTCCGATGACTGGACCACCTGTGTCATGATTGCAAGCGGCGTGAGTAAAGTTTTTTGCAACCAATAAGTTGTGTCTGCCTCTCCATTCACCAGCCCGCCCTGACGTACGAGCGTAACTCGAGTCGGCCCTGGCCATCCGAGACATATTGAAGTTGGTCTAATAAAAGATATCAGATTCACCCAAAGAACCTTGTCTGCCTGTGTCCTTAGACCAACACGGCTACAACCTACACCCCTAAGTGAAGAAGCTCCAGGAGGCTGCATAGCACCCTCTGCCTCCTAACCTGAAAAGTGCAAGGAGGCTCAGAGCCTCCCCACCTAAACACTGAACTTTTGTCATGCTTAAGAGCGCTGCAACTCTATAGTGCTATAAAAAGTGCTCTAACTTACAGCGCTGTAAAAGTGTAAAACATGCACAGAGCACTTCTGTACACACTGAAAGCCTGCTCTTTTTCCACAAAATAAATATATCACAAACAGTGTCAGCCCTAGCTATTGCCCTACCAGACTGCCTTAAACTGCTTCTGAAGGGCCCATTACTAGTGATAAAATGAATTAATTCTCTACTTCCATGCAATTTTTGGTTTAACTACCATCAAAAGCATGGTTTAGTGATAACTCTAAAAACAGTTTTGTTATGGGCATACTTACCTATTAAAAAAATACATGGCCTGAAACAGCCAGCTTATCTCACTCAGATAACCAATTGCTATCAAACAGAAACAACTGTCAAGTTACTGTCATCTACGTTTATAAGAAATTCACAGGTCAAAGGCTCTGTGATTTTATTTAAATAAAAATGGATATTTGTTATTTAAATATGCATTTACACACACATTCATTACAAAAGTTGTTAGAAGAAATTTAAAATACACCAGGAGGAATTTTAATAAGAAGACTTACTATGAGAACCAGAATGGAATGGCTCACAGCACTACGATTAACTAGATTGCATGGTATCTTGTGGAATAATGGTTCCGAGTGTTGTTGCTTACTGGACAATCCTGTTTTGTCTGAATTTATTTGTTAATACAAATTTAAGAGAAAAGGTTTCTGTTTGGGTTCATTACTCCTGAACCCCACCCCCCAAAGAAACCACATCCCTTCTGACAATTTATTTAAAAAGCCTTTCTATTATCTCTTTAAACAAGGGTTTTTTTCTACCTACTCTCTTTGTTTATATTTGTTAGTCTACATACTACTCAAACTGCCTTAAAAATAAATATAGCTTATGAATTGCAGTAAAGTTTAATCAATGCAGAGAGAAGGCAAAATATTAAATTTCACACAGAAATCTAGAGATCAGAATACAGTGGCGAGTAATAGCATGACTTTGATTCACGACATAAGCAGCAGAGATGGATCGGCAAAGATATTTATAGTGATTCCAGGATTCATATTATGAAGCAAAATGTTTTTTTTTCTTTCAGTTATTCATTGGAAATTAGGAAATTGGAAAAAATATTCACAAGAAACTTTATCTTGTTGAATAAAAATGTAGCATATTGACTGTTTTTTTATTACAAAACAGCCTCAGATGAAAATCAGAACTAAATATGAGTAAACATTCTGGCAAACAAATCCAGCCTCATCCATATGCAGTAAACAAAGCAAACAACTTTATATAAATTAAGTTCAGAGTCAACAGGCTGAAAAAGTATAGCTGTCGAGTAGGCAAATAGTTTGCTCTAAGATCACTTCTGCTATTTGAAAAAATGCAGGTATATGGGTTATTTCATCAGTTAAACAGGTACTATTCAAACAGTAAAATCAGTCACTAATCAACCTCTAGTTATTCTCAGTGGGCACATCTGCAGATTAATGTGAAGCAATAAACTCCGGCACATATTCTGCCAGAGTTTATTGCTCCCGGGAGCTGTGTTAACACATGTACCCAGGACCATAGCACATTGAGCCAGGTGAGAGCAGCCTCAGCTGGCAGAGGGCACAGGGGGTCAGCCTGCCAGCCCAGGGCTGCTCAACATGCTGCAAAGGGGCTGGCTTGGCACAAGGGTGCTTCAGTGAAGGGCTAGCACCTCTCGTGTCCCAGCCAGTCCCGTAAGCATCTACACATATACTGCTGCTCACTAAAAACTCCACCATAGGATAGTACTTGTATTTAGAAATACTAACCTGTTACAGAGTTTATTAGTTTCCTGCAGCCTAATAGGGCCACACATGTAGATGCCAAAACATTTACTGCAGAGCTAATTAGGCAACTGCACAGTAAATGTCTCATGTAGATGTGCCTAGTGTGAATAAATAAGCTTCTTTAATAATGCATATTTTAATAGAGGATTATTTATTTATTTCTGTTCTAGTTATGTCATTGTATGCAAGGACAATTCAGTATATATTCAGGACCCCCAAAATAAGACACCTGACTTCTGTTGAAATTGAATTCCAGGAAAGTTTCATGTCTAACTCCCTTAGGTGGGGATTTTCAAAGAAGTGTAAAGTCACAGGTAAATGATGCAACACTAACATTTCATAAACTTACCTGGAACATCTGTGCCAGCCGCAAGGAAAATTTCTCTAGGTGTTGCACTGAGAAACGAGGCATGCTTTCTTCTCGCCAATATGGTTCGGGGGGGCATGTACTGGCTTTTACCATACAATTTCTCAAATGATTTCTGAACCTCATAGGAACCTGGTGGTGGAACTTCCTGTAGTATTAAAGAAAGTCAGAAAAGTGTCAGATGGAACTACACAGAATTTACTGTGTGTGTTAAACATCAAATTACAACAGCATCAGTTACGGGAAAGCACCAAATGCTGAACACTTTTGTTTACCTTACATCTGCTACAGACAGATTTCACTAAAACCATAAAACTAATTTTATTCCATCACTGGTTTGGTTTGGTTTGGTTTGGTTTGATTTACCATTTGTTCTCCCACCTCCTTTTGGACCCTCCTATAATCCACAGAATAACAGTCCCCCGACTCTGGTTAAGAAAGAGATCTTCTTAGTGCTGTGTACACTATCTTACCAGCTGCATCATGCATTAAGTATATATTAAGAACTAAGTTCCTAATTTAGGAGGTTAAAATGCTATATCTGTTATCCTTTTAAGATTTAGATAACTCAGAAAATGAGATTTATGAAAGACAGAAAAACATTAGGACTCTTCTTTATGCTCTGGGCATGGCCCCATTTCAGCCAATCCCTAATTTTTTTTCCAATCCTGGTATTGCTTTAATTGATACGACTACAGGCCCAGTTGACTTGTGACATCTCGTGATACTGGATGTTACTGATATAGGAAGTGTCAGCCTTCTATAACCTCAGAATTTCCTTTAACCAATCATAAATAGTCTTATAAGCAGCAATTTAGTGACACAAATCAATGTGCTCCTGCTTCGTGTTAGCCTTTTCTGATGCATATATAATTCATATTCTTTTTGAAACACACAACTTAGCACTTGCATAGACACACACCTCACTAAAAAAGGTTTAATTCTTGCTTAATGCTGACATAACTGGATGGCATTTCCTCTTCTCTAAGCACGGTATCCATCTAGGAACCCATTGGTACATCAATAAGAGCCAGCCTCTCTCTATTTCTGCAGCACAGAACACAGGTATGCACCTACTGACTAGCTAGATGGCTATCCTCACATTATCATTTCTAATTAATCTTCGGAATAACAAGGAATAATAAGTTTCTGGGTAATAATGGGAATAGTGCTAACTCATTTCCTTATTCTGCTGCTTTTAATTTAACTTGTCTTGTTTCATTACACCAGGGAATTTATTATAGTTATAGTACAAGACGAACCTGCTTATTGCAGATGAAAGAGCAAGGGAATCAGAAAGAATCACTTAATGCAGTCCCCTGAATAAGTTTAGTATGTGCTTCTGAATTTATGTACAGCACCTCTATATTTTATGGAAGTCACAGGAGGTTACAGTACCACTGAACATGATCCTGATTAAAATCCCAACTGGAATACTGTGTGCAAGTATGGACTCTGCAGTTTCACCATATGCCTCTTAAAATGAAGGATACAGCCCACAGTTGTATTGTTCTTTTCTTGATTTTGGTTTTGGTTTTTTTGCAACTCCATCATATTGTTGAATCACGTTGAGTCTGTGATCTACCAAACCCTCAAACCCCAAACTACCTCATATTTTGCATTTGTACATTCGCTTTTTTCTTCCCTAGATTCAGTATATAATAACATATTTTCAAGAATCCATCAAGACTTCAAATTTAAGATGACCCCCTATAGTTAGATTCAATACATGGAAAATTTATAGATTGGTTATAATTTCCCATGCATAGAGTCTAATAATTGGAGCGTCATCTTAAATCCATCCCCTCCAGCCACTGCAGCAGATCCCAGCAGTGCCTGGGTGATAGGGGAGTCAAATGGCCTGACCTCCACCCCTTGCTCCCTTGTCTTGCCAACCACTTGCCCCTTCCCTCTCCCCTTCCTGCTGCCCACCCCCAGTGCCTGAATACCCCAGCACCTGCCCTTCCATAACACCTGGCACCACCTGGTTCCTGCCTCCCACCACTTGGCTCCCTTTCTACCTGCTCCCCCCAGCACTGCCCCCTCAACACTGCATTATGCCTGCCCCCACCCCCACCGCTGCTTATCCTCTGTCACTGCTCTGCCTCCACCTCCAGGCCCATTCCAGCCTTGAACATGGAGCACATAGTACTTTGGCCCATACTCAGCCAAGCAGCGGTGGCTGCAGTGGCAGCAGCTCAGGTCTCAGCCCCAGGTCAGAGCTGGAGCTAGAGCCAGAGCCTCCATTGCCTCAGCCACTCCTCCTTGACCGGGCAGGGCTGAAGTGACCATGTGTGGCCAGGATCAGGTCCAGAGTCAGAGCTGCAGCAGCCGCCTACCCCCTCCTCCCCTCACTTATACTCAAAATCAAGACAGGGGGCTTTTTCCCCCTATATTGAATGGGGGGAGGGGGCTTGTCTTTCATTCAAGTAAATAAGGTATTTGTCTTTGATGGATTTCATTTCTTTGTTTAGTACCTAGTTCTCCAATTTGTCAAAAGCCTTTTGAATTTTAATCCTGTCCTCCAAAGTGTTCCCCAAATCAACCCTTCCACCCCGTGTATAGTCACCGATTTTCACCTTATGCGATTTTCACCTTACACACGGACTTCAAAACCTAACCCCCGCGTAAGAATTTCTATTACAGTGGAGTCGCATCTATCTGTGTACTTATAAGAATGTCATAAGACTGATCAAAACCTTACGAAAGTCTAAGTATATTATGTTCACAGCATTCCTCCATCCCTTCTACTGGTTAGCTAGTCACAAAAGAAAATCAGGTTGGCCAAATCCATGCTAGTTACTAAGTGATCACCATTTCCTCCTTCAGATGTTTTCAAATTGCTTTTGTTCTAGTAACTTTACAGATGAGGTCAGGTTGATTAATCTGTAATTACCCAGGCCCTTCCTTTTAACATGTTTAAAAATGGACACTATGTTAGCTCATCTCCTGTCCCCCATAGGGCTGTGTGAAGCTTCGGGTGCTGATTCGATTCAGAGGAGATTTGTCTCAATTCGGTGGCCAAATCTCTGAATCCAAATCAAATCGGGGACCAATTAAAATGTCCAAATCAACTCGAAGCTCTCCAAATTGATTTGGAAAAGGTTCAGAGAGCTTCAGCAATTTGGGCAGTCCCCACTCGCTGTTGCAGGGAACTGGACCCAGACTCCATGCTGGTAAGTAAGGGGTGGGAGAGGGGAGCTGGAAGTGGGGGGAACCATGGATGGATCCCTGCCAGGCCCCATTCCCTGTCTGCTCCCCCAGCACCTCCCCAGTGCTGCTGCAGTGGCCTCGGGCCTTCTTGGAACTTGTGGCAGAGCCCCCCACACAGCATGGGGCACTGGAGGTTCCCCACCCCCACCAGGCAGGAGCCAGTGAGTCCACGGTTTTTTGTTTTGTTTTTTTTAAAGGACTGGGAGCTGGGGGGGTGGAGCAGCCATGGAGGGGGCTGAAAGAGTGGGCAGGGATCAGGGGACTCATGGCAGAACCCCCAACATGGTGCAGGGCAGTGGGGGGGGCAGCAAGGATCACGCCCCCCACACACACACCTGGCAGCAGCTAGTGAGTGCAGGGATTTTTTTTCCAAAAAGAGGTGGGGCCAGACGGGGCAGCCATTGAGAGCGGGCGGGGGATGGGGCCTGTGTGATTCGGAGATTCAGCTGATTTCGCAGCAGCCAAATCTCTGAATCAGATTCAGCCGAATGGATTTGGGACAGTGATTCAAATCACCAAATCAAATCACTGTCCCTCAAATCAGCCAAATCCAAATCTGAAGTGAATACTAGCTGCTTCACACAGGCCTAGTACCCCATGACTTTGTAAACTTTGTTGTCAATGGCTATGAGATTTCTTCAGCTAGTTCCATCAGCACCCTGGAATGAATTTCATTAGGACCTGCTAACTTAAATTAATTCAAATTTGTCAAAAAACTGTCTGACATGATCTTTATTATGATCCACAGGCCTTTTTCTTCATCTATATTAATTTTGGCAGCTGTCTAGTCACGGTTTATGTTTTTTTTCTCAAGACTGAGGAAAAGTCGTCACTGAGCTGCTCTGCCTTCTTGGTATCTTCCTCTATTAGCTCACCTTTCCTATTGTTGGACCCACAGTGTGCATCTACACATGGACTTTAATGCACAGTAGCCTATTTTACTGTCAACAGTCCCTACATAGAGGTGTGCCGCTAGACCTCCAAACTCCTTTATTCTCCTGCCTAGCGCCTCATCATCTCTTCTGACCTGTTCTAGGTCATTCTGGGCAGTATTATGACTGCATGCTCACTTGGACATGCAGGAAATGGTAGCGGGTCCAAAGGATGAATGACCTCTGGTAATCCCTCTCTGATGTCCTGAATCAGGCTCTAGGCATGCATAACACCTCACATGATTCTAAGTCTGGACAGATGGATGGCTCTGTTCCCCTCTAGAAGAAGACTCTGACCACCACCTTCCTGCTTCTCTTTGAGGTGGTGCTCATGGAACTACAAGTTGCCATGACCTTGCAACTTCTGATCTTAATTTCCAATTAAGTTAAACCCAGGGGTGTCACTAGGCAGCTCTGTACCCAGGGCAGCCAAAATTCAATGGTAGCTATATTGCACCATCCAATAAAGCTGGCATCCAGGGCTGCTATCCTAGTTGCCCAACCTCCAAGGTATGCTACTGGATAAATCAAATAAAGTAGCTAACCAGTCCCAAAATTGGAACTCTGAAAGGGAACACTACGATATTGGAGAGTCTAAGGAAGCCAAAATTAGTACAGGGACTTGGCAGTTGAACTGCAAGGTCTCAATTCTGAGAACAGAGAGTACGCACTGTAAGTATGTCCAGAGATACAAAATCTGAGGCCAGTCTTAGTAAACTTAAAAACACATATGCTTAGTGGGCGAGGCCCAAAGCAGCATCCAAAGTAGGTGAGTATACCAAGACAGGAAACTTTATCACGCATAAGTATTGACTTCAACATAAAGATTGACTGTGGTCTGGGTAGCAAAGTACATTCACGTGAATTTACTTATTCTTAAGTACTGCTAGGTCTCATATGTAAGATACTGGTAGATCAATATTCACTGAAACTTGCATCTAGTGGGTAAAATTCAGGCCACAATGGGAATTTTAGTGTAGACTCTGTATCAAGATTTCAGCCC